ACCATGGTGCAGTATCAGGATCTAGGTAGGGTTCTGGAAAGTTTTGGGAGAGACGATAGAAGTACCAGCTTCCCTTTCACATACAGGTTCTTTTGAAGAATGATTTAAAACTTGGCATTTGGCATCTTCTTTACATGTTCCCTGTAGTTTTGTTCATTCAAATTTTGCCACTGTCCTTTCACCAAGAACTACTTTAGCACTACATGCTGTCTTCAAGGTGAAGACGGAGAGCATCAATCATACTGAAAATATGATGTGTAAAGCTGGAGAATAGTATGGAAAACAGTATCACCTGCAAGTCAATAAAAGAACATCTTTTATCTGGAACTATTTCAAGGGTTTATGAGCAAAACTGCTCATAAAGGAACTGGAAACTTTCAGATCACAGGTCAAAGACCATGYGAGTCACTCTGTACAAGTTAGATCATCTAAAAATGTTTTCATTCCTACATTATGTGATTTGTTTAAGCTAGGGCATATATAAGTATAATTAAAATATGTAAGGTAAATGGATTAATTTAAAGTCACTTCAGGAAGCTAAATAGTCTGCTTGTCTACTACCACTGTGTTTCTCTTTCCTACGTTCCCTTATTCGATCTGAACATTCCAGTGCTATCGTACGTTCTTAAAAGATATAGCTTGGATTCACAGATATGATGGAAATGTCATCATGGGCCAGAAATTAAACCATCTGACTCTTTGACAATAAACATACTGAATATGCAAAAGAGTGCAGGGTGCCAACTGCTAGTTAAGAAAGAAAAAAAAAAAGTACAGATGCAATGAGATTTACAAAATATATTCTTCATAGACTATGTTCTAGGAAAGTTTTAATACTCTCATTCTTTCTTGCACAAAAAAAAAGAAAAAGGTGGGGGCAAACAGATTTGCTCAACAAAGAAACTGCATATCAAATTGTCAGAAGATGTCCTAGGATGTACCACATTATGCTTGTAGCTTAGATCCATAAGTTTTAAGGAAAAACAATTTCTGTTCCTGTCTTGAAATATTTTTTTATATGCAAACAGTAGACTTTGGAACAGTAGAAATTATTAAAAAGATTGCATATTCCCAGAGCAGTCACGCTGTCGTTGTTTAAAAATCCAATATCTTATTTAAAAAAAAAAWTTTTCAGTGAACATCACCATATTATATGAACGGCACCTATGAATGAAAAAAATCTCAAATGCATAGATGTACTGAAGCCAGTGAGAAAACTCAGTGTGAGTAAATTTTGAAAAGAAATATTAAGCATAACTCTTGACAACATTCATCAAGACATGGTAATTTCCTGTTTAAAATAAAACTCACACTGGTACCAGTTTTGCTGCCATTGCCTAATTCAAATTCAAGTGCAGGCCAGCTGAGGTAGCAATAGATATTAAGAACATTTAACACTTATTTCTATATTTGCATCAGTGTATATGCATATATATGTATCATACATATCATATACAGTGGTATAAAATATTGTGTGAAAAAACCCTTTTGCTTTTTTGTTTTGAACAAAAATATATATGAAATAATACAACTGAGCCAAAACAGCAACGTATATCCTGTTATCTACTYCAACAGCTGTGCAATGTTAGAATGGAGAATGGGATTTTGCTGTTAGTCAGGAAGTTTCCAGTAAAATCCTCATCCTTATTACTACAGGTGGATTGGATTTATATCATAATGCACTTCAAGTTGCAATTCGAAAAAGCAACTATTCATGCTTGCTTATAATCACAGTTTATCAATGAAGGATTATTTAATATATTGCTACTATTGAAGTTGATGCCAGAATACATACTATTGCTTTGAATGGATTAAGATTTTTCATTTACAGTGAGTAAAGTATCATTGATGAACACTTATTCCACACAAATATACCCTTGAAATAAATCATAGATATTATACAGTTCASTGGTATTATCGCTTGGAATTGGCACATATATGTGAGATAAGCATTGATGAGATTATGACAAAGTTCTCATAAATTACACCAACAATTACAGTGTATTCTCCACCAGCATATTTTAGATTATATATATATATATATAAATAAAATCTAGCTTCTAATATTTGTGTTCACAAAATATTACAGTTTATTGATAGTGGATTAATCTGAGCTTTGTGGAGATAATGTTTTGTAGCACAATGAATTCTTCAAATCTACAGAGGAAATATTGCTTAGGAATTACTTGAGTATAACTGGTAGTGTCTTCAAATTTGCTAAGGCTTATTTTTCCTATGGCGTACATAATTACTCCAGCAGTTTCCTCCCCGCCTCCCCATAGCTAGTGCAYATAAATTTGAGCCAAATAACAGTGAAAAGGCAAACCCAAACAGTTCTTCTTTCATAATAAGGCAAAACCTGCTCAGTTATATTGGAACCAAAAAATATTCATGGTTTTATTTTTTTATATATTTTCTTCAATTTATTAATAATCTTTTATATATATTTATTTATGGCTTTGAGCAAAGACAAAAGAAAAAAAATCTAACTCATCCCTGATCATACAGTTATTGTAAGAATCAGATCTTTCCAGCAGCAATAAGATCCAACCTTTTTCATTAATACATTTCATCCTGTACAGATGCGAGATTCCATACTTATGGGCATACTTATGTACAGAGAAAATAAGTCAATTCTGAAACTAGCAATGGACCTTTATATTACAGGAATGTGAGTCATTTGTTTCTTAATCTAAGTATATATACATTCATACATACATATATATATATACGTATATAATTTTTTTACCCTGTACCATTTTTGTTGATTTAACATACAAATCCTAGATATTGTCCACTCTGTTACAAAGTCATTAAAAATTATTTATGGTTTCACTGAAAGACCATGTGAGTTAATATATCTTTATAGTGCTTCAAATAAAATAAAAATATATATAAAAATATTTCGCTACTAACCCCATTTCTGCTATCAAATGTAAACCTTAAACAGTTTGAAAGATCAGAATATGATCTTAATTGACGGAATTTGTTAGTATTTAAAAAAAATAAGGGGTATTTTACTGATAAACAAATGGTCTTGCAGCGTATCCATAATGTCCTGAACATTTTTGAACAGTTGCTTCCTCATATAGTACTCTGGGCCACTCAGATTAATGGCAGCAGCATGTTAATGGATTAATTACATTGGTTCATACTGAGGAGTGGGAATCAGCAAAAACTGGTGAAAATCTTTATTTTTTTTTAATTTTTATTTCATGTACCACTTCAATAAAAGGCGTAACAGGCAGCATAGGCTGGAGCTCTGTTAGTTTTAGAATATTTACTGGGCTGTCAAGTACATCTGGATTCACTGCATTACGTAGTCCATGATGTTATTTTACTTTTCCATGCATCATTAAACTTAGCATTAATGGGAAAAGATGAATGATTTTGCATTTATTTCCCTAACATGACTCAGTTGGGTGTTAAAGAACGGAAAAAATGCTTACGTCATAGCCATAATGCTGATTTTTCAATGAGTTAAATCATGACACACTTAGTTTCAATCTCTATTTAATGTGACAAATCAGGCACAAATGATTATGAAAGGATTTCTTTTGTGGATAAGATAATGTGAAGATTTGAGCAAACAAAATAAAAAGTTCACAAAACAGTATGCTTTAACCCTGCTTTCTGTCACCATTCCCTTTCTGTTTTGAAGACAAAAATAATAAACCTCATATCTATGGGCTATGTTTGACACTACATGCCTTAGGATATACTATCCATTTAATTACAATATACACAGAGCAAATCGTGCATTTCCAGACAGACTTTGATGCTATATTATATTTATTTATTTTTAAATTAACACCACAGTCAACTACAAAACTACAGTGAAGACACAGAAAGCACCTGAAAGCCTAAATCAAGCTGTGGTTTACAAAAAATCCTTTAWATGAAAAAACCTCACTTCTAGTCTTAAACCGGAGATTCAAAGTCAGCATTATAGGAATTTTAAGGTAGACACAATTAATTAATGTTTATTATTTTCTAAGATACCATAAAGCCTTTTCCTACAATGGCTGACTGAACCTATTTTTATAGTCTTTTTGTTTTCAAAGCATGCATGGAATATTTTCAGATGCTATTTAGGGCAAGGAGAAGAAAAGTGATGGTATCGGTGAAGTACAAGCGGTTTGCAGGATCAAGCGTACAATTTTGCATAAAACATCGCATGTAAAAGTAACATTATAGGTTTTAAGCCATTGCATTACAGTTTAACAGTTGTGTTGTACTTAGCTTCAACAAATTTTAAAACTGTAAATTTTTGAAGTGAAGAGCTGAACCTAAATTCCTAAACAAAGACCTTGCAATGGTACACCACACAGCAGCTAGTTCTGTTTGGGTCTAAAAAGTTATTTACAATGGCAATTATAGTCTTTGTAAAAGTCTTTAGCAATGTGAAGATTGAAGTCCACCCAGTTTTCTGAAACAACAGAATGGTTTACATGGTTGGAGATTACCACCCATCCAGAGAAGTGCTAGTGCCAGCCTTTGGACTGCAGATGCTTGCAGTATATTTATTTTTCAATCTAATCCCAAATGGAAAGCCTTAAAATATGAAATGCAATGGGAAATAACAACATAAGAAATTATCAACAATGTGGACGAATAAATGAAAGGATGAAGGTTTCAAAATATCACTCAGTCAGTGCTGTTTTAGTGAGATCAATTATTTTTGTTTTTTATTCTTGCTAGAAGCTTGTCACTGTGTTGAAAATTTCCCATGAAAACAGGAAACCTTTTCATAAATAGACAAATCTATTAGACTGGTTTTAAAGAAGACACATTAAAAATAAACAATAATACAGCAGAATTTTGACTCCTTAAATGGTTACGAGAAAGGAAGACATGAATTCAAATAGGTTTTCTTAACTCCTTTTTTTTGGATAGATATATATATTWTATATATATATATATAAATATATATATAATTTTTACATTCGTTACGTAGGGCAAAGCTGTCTAAAATACTTTTTTTTTTTTCCATAGTAGACTGCTGGGGTATATTAGGAAACTGGCTAAAAGAGTTCCTGGGATGATTCTCAGTTCATTATAAAGTCTGTTGGTTTTATATTTTTATTTTTTTTCACAGTTTCCAGGGATCATAAGTTTGACGCAAATCGCGGTTTGTCTCCCTCGGGATCTGTGCTTAAGACTGTGGAAGAATCCCTCGGCAGCGGGGTGGCGGGCGGCACGGCGCCCCGGTTTGGGGGGATGGCTCCCGACGACATCTGCCGGAAGAGCGCGACCCGCTGGGGCACGGTGCTGCCCCGGGCGGCCGGCGCCACGCTGGGACCCGCCGGTGCCGGCTGCGGCAGGGAGGCGAGCGACTCGCCCACGGTGGGGTGAGGCCTCGCCATGAGCGTGGAGATCTCGTGGGGCAGGGAAGGCTGCGAGGCAGACAGGGGCCGCACGTCCCGCGTCAGGTTGGTGTTGTGCAGGGCTTGCGTGCTCTTGTGCACCTCGCTCTTCTGCGACGGGGCGGGCTGCGGYGGCGGCGGCTGCGGCGGCTGCTGCATGAGGGAGAGCTGCGACGCCGTCGGCGAGGCGTACTGGAAAGTTCGGCCTGCCAGCGGGCTCTGTACGGGCGGGCTGCAGACAGCCGTGGTGTAGGAGCACGGCGAGAGGATGACGGCTTGCTGCGGGGTCTGCGTGCTCGGTGAGGGCGACTGCAGGTTCCCATGGGAGAGGCTGGTGGCCGTGTAGACCGGAGGAGACTGCGTCCTGAGGCGCGACGACGATGACGACGACACCGCGGAGGTGCTGGCRTTCAGCGTGGGCAGCTGCTGCAGGCTAACGGGCGCGATGGTCTGCACCATCTCTCTGTCGTGCTTCACGATCTGCTTCAAGATCTCGTTCTCCTGGTTGTTGAAGACGCCCGTATTGAGATCTTTCTGGAACTTCTGCAGGAGGATCGAATTCTTCTTGCCTTTACAAAGAAGCAGAAGGGTTAGTGAGCCCCAAGCGCAGATTCTCCCTCTGATTTAGCATCAGGGGGATTATCTCAGTAGCCTAAAAGCTGAGAAAACACCCAGTCAATAGCTCACAGCATAACCCAGCTTGGCACTGAGCTCCTTGCCCCATCAATCGTCCCAAGAGTGTGTTCTTTGCCATAAGAAACACGGCAAAGAACTGAGCTGAGCCTTGACAAGCGGCCACACGCGCAGCTCTCCCCGGCCGGCCCTCCTGCACGCCTCCCTGCTGCCCCCTCTGCACCAGGGCTGCATGCATTAATAACACCCTGTTCTTCAAAGACACCTGAACTCTCGGGGCCTCTTCACCTACACAGTGCTGCTATTACTACAATTATTTGGAAAATGTAACCATGGCAATTTACTGAACAACAGGGTGGAAAAAGCGACCGGGCTCTGCATGTGTAACATCTTTCTCTCTCATTACAAAACTGTCCTAATTCCCTGCACACTAAGCTGTTACATAAGTTATAAATACATCTGCCATTTAGCACATTCCCTGGAACTAATTATTAGACATTAGTAACCAGTGACCACTAGCTTGCAAGAAATCATCTTTTTAAAGTGCTGGAGAACTAATATGAATTCACTGCTAATGTGATACCTGGCTGCACAATAAAGATCTGCTATAAAGTGCATCCTGATGTTCTCTCAAAGAATGATGTTTGCTTGGTGACTCTCAGTATCTGAAAGATGTCAACACTTTTCTGTGTCATGTGTCACATAGAAATACAATTCCAAGGGTTTTTCTTAGATAAGACATAAGTTTATATATATATTTTTGTCCTTGTGTAGCTTTATTACTGTAAACACAGCAGTTCAGATTGGATTACTGCTCCAAGAGTAGACYGGACTTGCCTACTAATATTTTGAAGTATGTATTTCCAGAGAGTTTTGACAGACAAATTGTAAGAGTTTGAATAGTCTTGATTAGAAAACTGTGCATTGAATGTGCACTGTCTCCAAAATACCTATACAGAAATCTATTAAATACGAGAAATCTGCATATATACATATATTATTTATTATATTTTCTAGCTAAAGAAGAACTAAAGCTACTTCTTCTGCTTTGTGGAGACAGCACAGAGCAGTATCCTGCAATTCTTTATTTATTCGCTTTCAAGAAACTGCAAACATCTTTGTACTGAAAGACAGTGATGTRAGAAAAACCTTAAGCTAGCAGTGAAGATCACAGCATACTCCATGAAAATCTGCCAGGATTTTATTTTTTTGGCTGCTACACTAACATATCTATGCTTGTGTGTATGTGTGTATATAATGAAGTGTTGCTCGGGCTAATGCCCAASCATTGCATTGCTCCAGTGGGCAACTCCTGATAAAATCTCATATTGCAATCTACTTATGAAGCTGAGGAATCACCATCATACAGGATTTTTTTTTCTGAATAGGTGCATTTTAAAGCCACCATCAGTAACTATGATCAGTGTACACTTCTGCCTAGCAAAATTCATATATTTTATCTAGTATGTCCTGTCAGAGGTATCCAGAACACCTGGTTGCACAAAAGCAGAATTTGATAATCCACTATGTCATTCGGTGCTTCACTTGGATATCTTTAGCCTGCTTTTCTGACTGCAAGCAGATCTGAGTAGCTCCAGTGTGCACTCATCAATGCTAACAGTGCCCATGTTGTGAGGAAAATGAGAGCCCTGCTGCAAAGGATTAATTCACTTCAACAAACACGGATTTTGTGTGTGCTGAGAAACATCACCTCTTCCCAGCATCATCTGTAAAMTATTTATGTAGGAAAATGTCATCTACTTCTCACAACTGCATAAATCCTATGAAGTAGCAAAGGACATATGCAGTATTAATAAATAAGACTATTATCAAAGTATATAGACTGAACCTGTGAGGTCCATGGAGTATAAAATTCTRAACATCTGAGGAGTAGGAAAGCTTTCTAAAATTCACAGTTCTATATTATTTAAAAGTGAATTGCAGAATTTCTTCTTTGCACAAGTCATATTCATAGAACAACAGAGCTTTTACTTTATGGTAACAGAAATAAGAGTTTTAATAAGTTTTAAGGCACTTTCTTTCAACTTAAGGAAAAGAAAAAAAGGTTCTAAGAATTCCAGTTACAGAAAAAGACAATACCTATCCTGTCCAGTCTATCAATGGCCACTGTTTCAAAGGCCCTTCTCATCATGGGGTACTCTTCCAGAACCTCATTGAAGTTGTCCACGGAGAGGGAGTACAGGCGGCAGTAYGTGTCAGCTCGTACACTGGCAGTGCGGCGGCCCTTGGTCAACAGGCAAATCTCTGRGGAGACAAAAATTCAGCACACACAGGAAACAAAGAAGTCAGTCAATCATGGGAAATTTAACAGCTAGGAAGTGACTCAGTGCTAACAAATAATTCAGCACTCAGCGGCAATTTTTCTATTGCTCTTTAGGCAACAGTGCAGGGACAATTCTGAAGGTGCTTGATGCTATTTTTGCTATTCTGAGAAAATAACCAGTGTACTTTGAGACCTGCTTATAGTTTTTCTCAGTCTAGACTCTGATTTTGTCAAACTTCAAAAATTCTTTTTTTCTTTAAGTTCTAAGAAATAATCTATCAGCTGTCAAACATGGTTTGCTGACCCAATTAATTCAAATGATTCTCTTGATATTTGGAAATAGTCAGTTGACATAAAAGACCAATTAATTAATGATCTACCAGAGTTACTAAATTAATCTAATACAATATAAAAGGATACTTGAACATAAAAACTATTCTAAGAAAAAGTACATTCAGCATGGAAGTGCCTCTCCTTGCTTTTTATGCTCTAGGTATTTTTGGAGAGCAAGTTGATCATTGTGGACATTTTTTCTCATTTGGCTAAACAACACAACCCCTTTAACCACTGTCACAATAAACTCCATTTGACCAATCTAGGAGACTTGCTCTGCAAGTGCTTCTAACTGGAATTTGTTGTTGTGGAACACAGGTAACCAAGGCCAAACACAAAGTCCCCAAAAATCTATCCCAATCTTGCAACTGATGATTCTGGAACTCACACAAAGAGATTTATTGGATAAAGTCCAAAATCAGTATCACATGYTTGTAACAAAACATTTAGGGTGGAATGAGAGATGCATGAGTTCCTCTTCAGGAAATTTCCCAGTTAAAGCATTCAGTATTTAGGCATGTTATATAATTATTAGTCCTCACATGTCTATAAAGCTGACAAATGCACAGTATTGTTCATACAATACGCAACTTTCAAAGTGCACAATTCTTTTCCTCATCTTCATCCTTCTTTTCAATGAAAATTTACATTAGAAAAGTTGTAAAGTTTACTGTTGCCTAAAATAACAATGWCCAATACAGTGTTATATAAAGTCACTTAGAAATATATTGCATCAGATATTTCAGTTAGCTAAAGGTGAAGCTGATTGCAGGAGACTTCACAATTAGAAGAAGCAATTTTTTTTTCAAATTGTCCATTCATACTCCCTAGGAAGTAAAATAAAATGTTTTCTTTCAGATCACAATAGGTATTTTATCTAAACATTTAAGCTATTTTATATTAAATTACAAAAAAAAAAAAAAAAGAGAGAGATGCAATTAGAATTTTTTTTTCAATCCCATTTTCAATGGGATTTGGGATGAAAAAGCACTGAGATATAAGAATTGTAGGGTTCAGGCAGGGTGGGAAAAAGTTTCCCGATTCTAGTGACTATGTTCAGTGAGTTTATGTTTGRTCACAGCTCTTTAAGTACTAGGAGTAGGCTAGAAAACTGTCTCCAGTCTGGCTTGCATTATCTAACAGAAACTGTAATTCTCCAGGAAATGTGGAAATATTTTTAATTAGCAAAATAATGAATTCTGCAGGCTTTTCTTCAAATACAAAGTATTAATATATTTCTTTTTTTTTGCATGTATGTTCTTAACAAAATACTTTTGTATTGATCTAGAATCTATGTCTGTATGTTCTTAACAAAATACTTTTTTATTGATCTAGAATCTAAAGAACCCTGATGGCTTTCATTCTTTCTTTTTTTTATTGACAAATTCCATGTATAGGGTATCTTTGTCAACACTGCATGGATTTTGCATATCAAAATTCGGTTTTGAAACCCTCTGAAATCTAAAGAAATATTCTAATTAGCTTCTACAAGCTTTGAAGAAAGCCACGTGGAAAATATAAACATTCTATGTACAATCTAACATACATTCATCTCCCTAAGACATGTAGGTCCTTCCAGCTGAAATGAGAAAAGAGTAAATTTCATTCATGCTACCTTGCATATTTAAGTACAGGCTTAATTTTATGCCCACAAGCTATCTTGCYCTGAAGGCTTGGATGTAAGATGCTTAAGTAAGAGTGGATAAACCAAAGTATATCAACAAGGAACATACATCTACATCTACATATCAACAAGGATATACATCTATATACAATATACTTAGAAACTCATACAGCTTTGGGAAGAAATTATAATGACTAAAGGCTACGGTACTCCACAAAATCTAATTCCCACAAAACAGCTACAGACAGTTTATTGTAAAGAACCAGTCAAATCAAACAGATTTTAGTACATTCTTCCTCCATTCCCTAAATCTGACTGACCTCCTGTTCCTTTGACTGGAAGCATTGTATTGCAGTTACAGAAAAGAACATTTTGCCCAAAGAAAGCAGTTAAATACAGCAAATGTCTGTTCCACTTTCTAAGACATTCTTAATATCTCATGCAGAATAAAGTTTTACAATTCATGGTTGAATTCATGAATAACTAGCTGGAAAATCTGTGTGACTGATAATGAYCTCTTGATTTTCATCTTTCTTCATTTAAAATCGCTGCAGACAGTACTAAAAACATATGGAGTTGTCTTTTTCTGTACTCAGCAAATAAAAGTACGTGAATTTAAAAAGCACTGCATGCAAAAAACAAAGCAGAAACTACTGGTTTCATCTCTACTGTTCTTTTTCTGRTGGCTGTATTCTAGATGACTTCAGGACCAACAAGACTTGAAGGAAACCATTCTGGATTTGAACACGGGACTGGGATTTCTGGATGCTACTGCAGCAGATATCATTATTTTTCCCCTTTTCCCTCTTCTGTTACTCTTTTATAAGTAATGATACTTGAAATAACCACTGTTCTGAGAATCCTACTCTTCTAGTCATAGAATATCTTCTAGGAATGGTTCTAATACCTGTTTTAAAGTCCATACAGTGAACATGAGAAGAAAATACAAGAAGTTTATTTTTAACAAGTTTCTTGATGGATTTGAATTTTATTATAGTCATTGATAACATCATCTATATTGCTTTGATATACATATCAATAATATCATTTGTAGTCTGTGCTTGTTTTGCATGTTTTAGWGTTAAAGTCCTCGTTACTTTGTTCTGCATTTCATTTCATGTCATCTTATTAGCTGTTTTCCTAGGAGAAATTATCTGCTTTCCTGTATTTGAGAAGCTATAAAATCTCATTTACTTGGAGAGGAGAGCAAGAATACAGAAAGCCAAAGTATTTGTTCCAATCAAACATTTGTGCTCTTTTAAATAAATCAAAATATTTTTAATAAATAAATAAACAATAGACTTTATGAAGAGAAATGAGTAAGGAAAGTATCCAAGATATTTAAAATAAGTCTTGGTGGCGTCAAACACACCAGGTGYCCTCAACAATTATGCTCTCCTTGATTTTAAATTGATTTGAATGGACTAGGAAATACAAACAATGGCACAGGAGTGGGCAGTGAAACACAAAGGCTATAAACTATTTTCGAACAGCTTGGACAAGCACTGCTCTTTATTAGTATAAAAAGAATGTGGCTGTAGCATATTACTCACTAATATTCCCATCTGTGGCTGGCATGGGGCATTGCTTTCATGCTGACTCTTTCAAAGTGTCAAATACTTTTATCTTTCCTTTCCAAACCTAAGAATGTCTTCAATTCYAATTAGTAATTATGTATGAGACTGTAATGAACCCGTTATTCAACTCCTATGCACGTTTTATTTTAATTACATAATCTCTTTGGAAAACTATTCTCTGGAATATTCTAAAACAAATGTCAATCACTGTCTAATCAGAAATGCCTATCTGAAAGCACTAAACAATGCTAAAAGCATTCATTTGTTCCTACAGTTCACATTTTATACAAATGCAATTAATTTATAACTGAAAATCATAATTTGTGTTCTTCTGGCATCAGATCATTTCTGCAGAACAATGTAGCTCTCAAAAGAATATGAAAAATAGCTCAATTTCCAAGTACATTCTGCTGTAAAGACACCTAAGTAACAAGCGCAACAATGGAAGTTCAAAACTAAGCCTAATTGGAAGAGCCTAATTATTAACCTAATAATCAAAACTGATCAAGAACATATAAGTTACACATATATATGACAATATTTCTGCAGGAACACTAGGTTCAGGTTTTGGAACTGCATGAATTTCCAGAGAAGTCTGTTCATATCTCTTCCTGTGTAAAATAGGACTCCCATAGATTGCATTTCACTACTTAGTGTGACAGAATACTCTGGATAGGAAGCTCTGCATACCCAAAGGACAGAAAGAKCCGAGGAAGACTGATTTGGGAGAATGAGGTTGAATGACATAACTTCTGTGATGGCTTTTGAAGAAATAGCATTAGCTGGCCCTTTGTAGGGGCTAGAGTTTTGGTACCAAATGAGATGAATTTCACAGTTCTTCAATAAATACATCAATATGCCATTGTAGATGCTGATTTTTCCTCTGTTGCTGTATGATCCCTAAACTTATTTTTCTTAGAGAAAACAACTGGAGATGTGGGAGATCTATGAAAAAAACTAGTTTTTTCTAGCAACCCACTCAGCTTAGCTGACAGATTGACATCTAACCATTAACTCTCAGTTTATTTTTCATATAAATTATACTCCAAATGTAATTACTCACCCTTTTATGTAACATCCATGTTTGATTAGAGATGAAAAATAAACTCAAGAAAAAAAAAAGAGAAATAACAACATGCAGTTGCCTTGCAGACAAAWTGTGTCCACCAACAGATAAACTGTGGTGATACGGGAAAGAGTTAAAGATAAGTAGTTAGCTGGTTCATTTAGGTGATACCAGTTTAGGATGTTGTATAGTAATATGTAGGATATTAAATAATACAAGAAATTAACATTGTATGCACAGCTTTGTTCTGCAAGGACACAAAGACTAGAATTAAAGCAAAAGTTACTGTACTTTTCTAGATGCAGCAATTAATTGTGGTAGCAGCAAATAAATTGGCTAGTATGCTAGTCATATAGTGCTCTTGGTACTAATAATAACTAA